TAGTAAATTGTAATTTTGTAACTTTGTAAGATGTAGGCAAGTTATTTTTCAAATTGGACTAAAATTTCTGAATATCCAAGAATACAATGACAGTTATATAAATCATAATAGATGAAGTATTCCTTCTAATTCTTTTTCTTTGTCCGAAAATTATTTATGAATATTTATAAAAAATTGCTTATACATATATAATAATTAGTGGTGCAAGATTCCTACCGTAGAAAGAGCAGGTGGACGAAAATTACGTGAAGAAGGCGGATCTATGTTATATAAGAAAATCAGGGCCAAATAATTATAAGACGCACTGGTCCCGCATATAATTACAAAAATAATACTCTGTCTATCATATAATTTAATGGGGGAGTTAAGAATTTTACGAAGGATATTAAAAATAATGCATACAAAAGTTCTTTTTAAAAAGTGAGTTTTTTTTGCTGCTAGTCAGATTTGAATGTACGAGCAGTGGCTCATTTAAGGCGCCTAAAACCACTGGCTACAACAGTCTGTTGTGTCAAGGATGTCCAAAATAATGTTATTTAAACACTTTGTGTATCATTTTACTTGTATATTCACTATTTTTTTCTGACAAAGGAGGTACAATTTGAACACCCTGACAACCACGCAGCTCCGCCCCGATATAATTTGTATGTGTGTCCAGTCCACATATAATAATAAAAATAATACCCTCTCAATCACAATTTATGTGACACTTTTAAGATTTCAAGATTTAGAGAAATTTTTTTAATCGTAATTTCTTTATATGTTTTTTTTTAAAAGTATTTTTAATTGTCAGTTATTAGGAATTATTGTACTTTTTATGTAACTTTCAAATATGTGAATTTTATTTTAAAAAGTTTAAAAAATTGCATGTTCGTGTTTAAATATAAAATTAATTATTTGACTTTCAAAATATAAACAGTGTCATATATATTGTGACAAAAAATAACTGTCTAAGATGAATGCAAGCTGTTGAAAAATAAACATAAGCATGACGACTATATAAGGTAAGGCATACTGCGGGAGCTAGGACGTAGGATAATAATAATACATTAAACAATGCATTTTTGGATTATATTTTCTTCAACTATGATGCCACTTTTCCCACCACCAAATCCATAGACTAGGAAGTAGGATATGCTCTTTTATAAGTAAAAAATAAAAATAATCTCTCGTTTATATTACTAAAATAAAATTGAGATATCAAATAATTTCTCATAGACTACGTATTTTACTAAATAATAATTTTGATCAATATTATTTTTTTCGTGGTTTAGATATGTAAACTTTATTTCATAAAAATCAATACTAAAATTGTAGATATATATTAACTTTCATACTTTGATGGAGACTGCTCATTAATATTATGTGATTAATGAAATGTGCAATTTAGAGTAGAAACTAAGTAGAAATATTTGCAATGTTATGTCATGAATTCTGATTGTGATTTGCGAGGGCGGCTGGAAGATAAATATCACAAGGTCAAAGTGGCAAAGTTTAATTTGCCAGGTTAAAATAGGTTGAGTTAATAAATGACGGATCAAAATTATTTGGTGAAATAAATTGTGTTGAAATTAGCTTAAATTGGATCATAACCCAGCCCTCTTAACTTGTACTAAGTTTTAAATTCTTTGTTTGAACACCTACTATTTTTTCCCCTTATATTATGATTATACACAACATATTAAACAAAAAAAAAGCACTTTTGAAAATATTTGGAAATTTTTTCTTGTAGATCACTCTAAGCTATGCACAGGGGCGTAGCTTTTCTAAATTGGACACTGTTCATCGAAAAATAACACCATTCGTCGAAAAATAATACCGTACGTATAAGTAAAATGATACACGAAGTGATTAAATAACATATTTTGGACACCCATGACAAAAAAAGGTGTTGTAGCCTAGTGATTTTAGATGTCTTGAAAGAGCCCTAAGTGCTGATGTATTTGAATCTCATTAGCAACAATTCCCCCTCCCCCCCCCCCCATCCCCTTTTTTTGATACCATTCGTGAAATTTCTGGTTCCACCACTGGCTATACACATATTAGATTAATTTTAAAATTGGTTGAATCAAATGGATAAAAATAACTTAAGGCAATAAATTAAACGGGTGATATAAAAACCTGTCCAAATCCAGACAAATTAAACAAATCATAATTTTATGAACGAATTTTTTCAACCACCATTAAAACTTTAAAGCATGCAAAATATGACTATAATCACCCACCTATCCTAGAGACTTCCCTCTACCACTACGTGTTCAACAATTAAGTGATAGGAAGCTCTAATTAACAAAAAAAGTTTGTCTCCCTTCTGTGTTTAACGTGGAGATGAATCAAATAGATCCCGTTATAAAATGGATTAGATTTGCCCTTATTGATAATGAAATAAGCTTTTTAATACGTTAATTATAAGCTATCTTTTTTTACAAGGAAAAAAAAAGAGTCAAGTATATATATTTTTGAACTATGCAAAATCATTTATATTTGGTGGTGCAACTGATCTAGACCATTAATTCGTACATTTCAAAAGCAAAATTGATCAGTTTTCTTTGTATAAACGTCCTACGTTTTGTAAAAGCTTTCATTGTTAGTCAAGAAAGCACATATTACTTATTTAAGTAACGTCAAAGGTAGATCTAACCCCAACTATTAATGGATCATCTTGATTATTTTGAAACATTCAAAAGTAAATTTGACCATTTCCTAGTAAAATAAAAATAATTATACTATTCCAGCATTCAATCATGCAAAAGAGAATCTCAATTATTCTCATTGTGCCACCTAATTACCAATCATTGAATTAGAAAACATTATGAACCGCAGGAACTATATAGAATGTGTGTGGACACTAATTATCAAAGATGAAAAATGATTTACAGTACTACATATTAAGTCAATATTAGCGTCCTTTTCCACAGAAATGGTGTAAGAATTTGAGCCATATAAAGATCAATTTTACTCGTTTTCTTCTTATCACATGCTTCTTGTAGAAAATAAATTTTAAAAAAAGTGTATGTCGAGACAAAAATGCACTTTTAAGGTGTGTTCAAACTATAAAAGAATATTTATTTTTTTGAATTTTAGTCCTAACTAATGAGGAGCGGAGTGGTCCTTTACGTAAGGTAAACGGGAGCTCTGCGACAAGCATAGGCATAGAAATATAGCTAATGTGAGCAATTTTAAACGTGTCACATGGGTCATCCAATGAAATCAAGTCGACATATGATGATGTGAAATTGTTTGTGATAAACTAAAAATATAATGAAACAGAGATTTTATTGATGGATATTTATCAGTGCAATTCAATTCCTCAATTTCTCAATTTTGTCCGTGATTCATCGATTGTTAGTAACGTATTTAATTTCTCAAATTCAAAATGATTTGTTATTTGATTGCTAGGAACGTCGAGTAGCGACTTTGACAAAGACAATATTTGTTGCCTTAATCTTTTTATAAATATTCCAAAAGTTAATGAAATTTCGAGACGTAAATTGGGGTTTAATGTATAGTAACCTTCGAGAACTCTAACAGAGAACGATAAACATGTTATCTCCTGTATTCAGATTAGCAAACCAGAAATAATAAAAGATGAAAATAAAAACACAAAGAACTATCCGAGTCCACAGAACGCACTGTGTGTCCTTAAGAAATTTAATCCCCTCAAGTACCCGAGGTTGCAGATTAATTCCTCCCAAGATAAAACGGATTAACCATTAAAGAAGTAGCGGTACCTCAAACTTCGATAATTTCAACGAACTCAAAATGACAGCAACGAATCACACACAGAAACACGATCGATCGATTTTGTTTTGTAAGAAATGTATGCAAAAGAAGGGAAGAATTCGATACAGAAAAATGAGAGAAAACCTCTCTATTTATAGCCAACAAAGGGTAAAGGTCACAACCCTTTGGAAAGAAGACAACCTTTCAGATAGGTCACAACACTTTGGAAAAGGCATAACCTTTCAAACGGTCACAATCCTTTAGAAAGGACACAACCTTTCATAAAGTTCACAACCCTTCGGCATAGTCACAACCCTTCATTTCCTGTTCACACCTTTAAAACCCAACAAAACATTCTTCCACTCTATTGTTCATAAATGAGGATGGAGTATGATTTTTTAAAGTAAAGGTGGGGATATGGGTAATATGCATGAATTTCCACTTCATAATTTATCTATTTTTTTAGAATCTACATTATCTATAAGGAGAGATAATTTTTTACTATTCTCTCCTTCCTTTTTTACTTATTTTCTATACTAAATATAAGTACCTATTTTTATTTGTCCAACTTAGAAAATCATGAAATAGCTTATCACTTAGTTCCTAATTTATCATTATAAATATTAACTATATTCATTTTTGATGTATTTTCCAAAGCATTACTATCGTTCTATCGATGACTTCTTAAAATATGTTTCAACTCAATAGTGATCAAGTAAAAATGAGCCCACAGAGACACATAGTATTAGTATTTCACCAGAGTACCACGGGATTTATTCAAAATTAAGTTTTCTCAAATAGTAATTTTTCAAAAAGAAAAGAGGGTAGAAAACACGCATTAACATGCCGTACTTCCGTAGTTCCGTGTAACAGAGCAAATCATAAAAAAATAATCAAGTCACTATAGTTGGTTATCTAGATACATAATTTTGATTTCGAATCTTTTAAAATACAATATACTAGAAAAAGAATGAATAAAGAAACTTACACAAACAATATTAGAGGGAAAGAAAATCCTCAAACTTCTTATATGCATATAATCCACCGGTTACATTGGAAAAAAAGAAGAATGATACTATATAATAAGACAACAAACAAATTAATTATACACAACTGGTATGTATAGATAAAAGATAAAATTCTAAAACAAAAGCCACCTAACATTACAAACTTAAGAATTTGGATGCACCAAATACTAAAAAAAAACCGTAACAACGGTTCCATCCAAATGTCCCTAGAGAACAAATAAAACAATAACAACAACAAACACGAAAAAAAGAAACATACATTTTGGACAATGTCGTTCGATATTTACATAAAATCATCGAAATTTAAGCTCTCTGGGATTTCGAATTTCATCAAATTACTGCAATAGCTCTCTTTTTCGTCTTCCGTGGGTGTCGATAACACTGAATCTAAGCTGAAATTCTGGTTGCTGCTGTTGTTGTTGAGTGATTGGAAATTTGAATTATCAGAAGCATCAGAATTACAATAACCATAGTTTTGTGGAGGTAGCATTTGGCTATTCATCAAATAGGATTCCTCCACGTGTCCTAATTGCATTGGCTGTGATAATGAAGATGAACCAGGAACATTTTGTGTGGTGAAATTTGGTATTTCTTGAATCTGATTTTGGAATTGAAAAAATTGAGTCTGATTTTGCAATTGGGAATTCAATATTTGATTTTGTTGAAGTTTTTGTAACAACAATTCAGACCCTTCTTGGTTTTGTAGTTGAGAGTTGAACATTTGATTATTTTCTTGATATTTTTGTAGTAACAATTCTGGGGTACTTTCATTTTGTGATGCCAAAAGTGTAGCTGCAAGCCTGAAGACTTCAGGGTTTACAAGTGCTTGTAGTCCAAGTAAGCTCGATAGGTTGAATTGAGTCGAATTTAGAAGGGACGATAAGTCTAATAAATCAAGACGAGGACTATGAGTCACTGGGTCAATACCATTCCTTAAAAGCCTTTTTCTAATGTGAGTGTTCCAGTAATTCTTGATTTCGTTGTCTGTTCTCCCTGGCAGACGGGCCGCTATAGCTGACCATCTAAGACAAACATAAAACGCACATATAAGTTTTGTGAAGACAATTAAAAAAGGTATGTTCTATTTTGTCTAACAACATAAGCTTTTAAATTATGAAAGTATATATTGCTTACTTGTTGCCAAGAACACTATGAAGTTGGATAATACTTTCTTCTTCATCAAATGAGAATCGTCCTCTTTTAATATCAGGTCTCAAGTAATTAGTCCAACGAAGACGACAACTCTTTCCACACCTTTGAAGTCCTGCAAATGAATTTTTCATTAGTACTATACACAATATACACTCATAATATACATGAAGAACAATAGAAACTATCGATAATCTCGATGAATAAAATAAATACCAGCATTCTTAGGGAGTGTTCGCCAATTTCCAGGACCATGAAGTTGAATATATTGGATGAGTTTATTATCTTCTTCTGGAGTCCATGGACCTTTTTTGAGTCCATTTTTATCACAACATGGTGATCTTCCCATTGCTTCTATGTTTTGTTTTGTATTCCTTCTAGATGTTATTAAAAAGTTGCAAGTGTTTTAAATTTCTAAAGAACTTTTAGAGAACAAAAGTGAACTTGTAGGACCTTGAGAGGATGAAGACCAATATTTATAGATGGGAAAAATAGATTGAAGTCAAAAGTATTTGGCGCCGGCCTCGTTTGTATGTCAATGCCTCAAATCACTTTCTCCGCTGTTTCTTGAGAGTGAAATGTACAAAAGTTACTTTAAGGTAATAGAATATTGAAAATAATGTACAGTATATTCCCTCCGTTCATTTTTACTTATTCAATATTGTTTTGGCATATATCGGGAAGAACAATAAATAGAATGATAACTTTACTATATCACCCTTTAAATACAAAAAATTCTATGATTTAAAATATAAACATCTATTTTTAGTATATTGGATAGTCAAAGTAGACGGAAAAGTAAAGGTATGTTCTTTTTTGGATAATCATGAGTCTAAACCATTCAGTCAGCTAGTTTAATTAATAAAATATGTACAAATTAAGTGTATAGATAATGTATACAAATTCATTTTATATGTTATATATGCTTCTATCGTATTGATAAATTAGTTGGTCGAAGGATATCTATGCTTAACTTTTCCTTCTTTTTTCAACTGTTAAAAGTGTTTAGACTTTGTCTGAACAGTAATAAAAATGTGGAAATTTTGGATGAATGAGATGAGACAGGTGGCAAGTAACTAATGGTTTTGACCTTTACATCAAAGTCTACAAACCAAGAATTATTAGTCGGTACGGTAGTTAGATTTCTCCTACCAATTAAAATGTCAAGGTTTTAACTTGTTTCAGTGTTTTTCTTCACAAAATTATCAAAACTTTATAATAAATAATAAATAAAAAAATAATTCAAACTCTAGACATGTATAGTCCACAATAAAATTTCAAAATTACGTAGGCTATCGTCAGCGTATCTGTTTCAGTCCAGTTAGTCCTCTTCGTGTCACTTTTTAGAAGCTTATTAGAACCTAATCTTGGGGACAAAGTTTTGATAATTAATAAAATGAAATCAAATATATTACAGTCATTGTAATCTTTGACATGCATGCATCCTTGGAGGAAGCCAGTGTGTAAGTTTTGATGTAATATTATAGCATACAGAAAAATTAATGTGAAAATTTGAAGGATCTGCGGATAAAAAACATATAGATAATCCAACAAAAGATGTGCATTAGACAAAATTTGGAATATAGAATGTAAAAAAGAATTCTCGTCTTTAGAAGTAAATCCCACTAAACTAGTAGTTAGCGGTGGGTTTTTGTATTTTATTTTAAAGAAATAGGGGGTTAACCTCCTTCTCTCTTTCTTACTAGTATTATATTTAGTATCCACATATATAATCTCTTATTCTTCGATATATATTATTATTACTATGTGTTGATATATGCATTTGCTTTGTACATTCCTAATTTGTTGTTATATTTTTTGTCAATTCTACTTTGACGAATCGAAAATTTATCAGAACCAACTACTTTCTAAATTTCTTCTTAATCATCAGTGTGAAAGCTTTATATGTATATCCTTTATATTTCATTTTGCAATTTAGAATGTCCAAAATGTGGAGATCTCACGGTTATAAAATATAAAAGTAGAAGGATTGAAAAAATATTTTGAGAGCAAAAAGGTCAACTATGATATTGAGGATAAAGTCATTAACAGAGAAAAGGGTATATAACAGACCCACAAAAATGGAAAAGGAAGGCATACTAGATACATATCTGAATATAAAAAGTTTTACAGTATAAAAATATAAAATAACACACTTTTTGAAGTTCTATAAAAGTTTTCTCAAACTTGCTCTTTTAATTTCCAAATCAGTTTATATAAAATAATTACACACTTTTTGAAGTTGAAAATAATTAACTATACTTTTATTTTGTCTAATGAAGAAGTTTTCTAATCTTACAAATGTATTGTAATATGTTTTAGATTATTTAAAATTCCACGCTAATTCAAACTAGCTAGGACGCACGATTTTCACAAGAATCATTTTTCCGTAGTCGTTTTTTAAAACAATAAAAAAGAGGAACTTTATGAGTAAATGGGTGATTTTTATTTACAGGAAATATAAAATTGGAGTGTTTTTGTAAAAGACGCTAACTTAATTTAATTTCTACTTAGAGGACGTGTCATGAGGCCAGGCCAATCCCAAACCATATATGTATCCTAGGGACAAGTGTCAAATTTTATTAACCTATATGAATATAATATAGCAAGTCAACAAGGCCAGCTAGCTATAACGCTCACGATTAAAAAATCACTATTTTCTCATTGAAAAATATTTCATAATTTTTTGATATTTTTTATTAAATTAATAAAAAAAGAAAAATTAATAATATTTTTATATAGAGAAGTTAAAAAGTTTTGCACTATCTCAATAAGAATTTATTCTCATTATATATTTTTTTATAAATCAATTCGATAAAAAAACAAATTCAAAAAAATCATATTTTGTAATATAAATTTCCACGGAAAACCCATCTGCTCCTTTTATGTGGTCTCAATACTGTACCAGTGCTGATTAATCTGATTTTAAAAAAACAGCTGCTTAGACAAATCACAACCACAGATTACTGGTGGCCCCCATCGTGGACATTTTTAGTTATTGACAAATATTGAAAATATGCCAATTACACCAATATCAATTTTGAAATCTCACTTGCTTCACAACACACGTTTTCCTTTTCAAGCCATATTGATTATTGCATAAGTAAGATTGATCAAGAGTTCAAGGCCGACTCTAATATCGTAAAATGAACATCAAACCTAATTTAATCTAAAAAATTAATCCAAGAGAAGGAAATCATCCAAGATCATATAAGGATACAAATTATCATTTCACCTAGCAACGCAGGCCACTTAATTACTTTTTTTGTTTTCTTTGTGTAGTTTTGATTTGATTACGAAATTTAAGAAAATTAAAAAAATATTTTAATCATGTGAAATTAAAGTGAAGATCAATAACATGTGTCAATATGTCATTTAATCTTATTATCATAAATATATTAGGTAGAAAATTGAAATTAAAAAATTATTAAAAGACAATATATTTTTCTTTCAAACAAACTAAAAAGAAAAATAATACAAACAAATTTAAATCGAAGAGCAAATTTTTTATAGTGAGAAAAGAAGAATAAGAAAACAAGAAGAAGTTAAAATGCATTAATTGCTCAATTTAAAGTTAAATGGTCAAACGAAATAAATGAAAAAAGTCGAAAAGTGCTAGTATTGTATAGGCTAATATGATACAATGGTCAATTTTCTTTTTTTTTTGAACCCAGGATAACTTGCACTGTCCTTCAGGTGAGCACTTTGTGCGCACTGGGTAAACCCCGTACTGTATAATAGCTTGCAAATCACACAAGAGATGTAAATCGCACTAGGCAAGCCCTATGCGACAGACTCAACTCATAAGGCATTGAGGAGGATCGATCCCGGGTCATCCGTGTGGATAACCACCCTCCAAACCAACTGAGCCATCCCGAAGGACACAATGGTCAATTGCTCCATTTTAAATTAGAGATCTCGAATTCTAGTCGTGAATATTGAGAAAATTTTGTTGAGAGCATCCTCCCTAAAATTAGGTCTTACAGAATTCTAATGCAAATATCGAATATCGAAGATAAAAACAAAGTAAATAAATTGAAACATAACAACCTAAAGCAAAAAAGATGTGTGAGTTTTTTCAACTGTAGCAGTTCAGCAGGTAATGCTTTGGGTTCACTCTATAAACCCCTAAATTAAAGCAACCTATAATTCAAAGCCGCTGAGTTTCTGGTATTTCATTCATCAAACTTTTAGCTAACGAAACATTTTCGTCAAATATTACTTCCTTCTCATACTCATACAAGCATTTCAGCAAAATTCAACGTCAAAAAAACAAAATAATAATCAAAACCTCCCACCCCCCCTCCCCCCACCACACACACACCTGGAGGCTTGCTTAATTGCCTTGTCTACCTCTTCACTTCATTTATTAAGTATGATAAAAAATAATAATAATAATAATAATAATAATTTGTTCTAGAAGAAAACATAAAATGATAAGAACATTGATATCGACATTAATTCAATCTCAATATTAAAATTTATCATGATGATTGTCCAAAATTATATAAATATATCAAATTACATCTTTCATGCGGGTGTGAGACTAATCAGGACTAGACATCTGCAGCATGGATACATAATACTCTCTTCGTTATTCTCTTAATAAACATGACTAAGAAGGATGATTTTACTAGTTTACCCTTTAAGAAACCTTTTGAAACTTTACAAACTTATTTACCCTTTTAAAAAATTATTGAAAAGGTAAATGGAAAATATTAGTAAATTCTAGCTTAATTTCGTAAATTGACAAGTAAGTTGAAATAACTATTTAAAATAAGGTCAATAACTAATATGGAACGAAAGGAGTATAAGAAGGGAGCCTTCTCGGGTAAATCATGAATTGAGATGATTCTAATACCATTATTAGATTTGAACGTTGTGCCTAATTAGCAATTTCAAAAGCTAGCTTATAAAGCGAGAATTATTTAAAATTATATAAAGAAATGGGCCTCAACAAAAACTGCGTAATTTTATCTCCATTTTCCTACTATAATATTTAGCTGTATATTTCGAAATCTTATTAATGCATAAAAAAATATACGTAACTAGTACATGCAAATTATTTATTTATATTGAGATGATAATAATCTTCATCTTTTGTTCCCTATTTGGTGTCTACGAGACAACTCATTCTCATAAACTGCTAATTAAAAATTACTAATGAAATCTTAGAGAAAATCACATTACTAACAAGATGATGTCGATTGTCTTGATCAACTTCTCTTGCCACCTGTCTCTATTAACTTTGACTAATCAATTTTTAAAATTGCATTTTCAAAGAAAAATCGTAATTTTGGTCTGCTAAGCCGTCGCATGTTCGCTAATCTTTGTTTAAGAAGAAAATTAAGCTTATTATGCGTCAACATAGAAAAAATAGATTTTGATTCGTC